TTACGTCTCGTGTAAAAATATTAATTTCTAAGTGTGTGTATTGAAAATTTCTGGTAGAAAAAAGGAAAATCTGCACGAATCAGAAGATTGGAGTAGCAATTTATTGAACACGGTGGAAAATTTACACCATTCTGATCAATTAAAATTTTCTGGTTTAAAATTGCCATTTAAATTTAATAATTGAAAATTTCTGGTGTAAGATTTGCAACAATCTGCTGCATGGAGGGGTAAGCTAAATTGAAAATTCCTGATGTATGCACAGTTCTGGTGAATATAAAGGCAAGCTTTATTGAACATTTTTGGTTGAAAAAAAAATACAACGTTTTGGTGAATGGACGGACAACTTAAACTTTACTTCCGAGAAGAACCTCAAGGGTTTTGAATTCAGAGGACTGTTCCAAAAGAAAAGATTTCTGAGGATGATTCTACGATTATTCTGCGAATAATCTCTAGTGAATCCTGCAGATAGTTCCAAGGTAATTTCGAAAATAATACCGAGATAATCATATTTAGAGTGAAATTCCAAAGGGAATTCAAGCAAAATATCAAGCAAATTCCCTGGATAATTTCTAGCTCATTCCGGGACAAATTTCTGAAACTCTAAAGGAATTTCAGTTCCACAGTGTTCTGAGAAAAAAATCATGAAGAGTTCTAAGTAGAATTCCAGTGGACTTCTAAAATGAATTTCAAAAGAAGCCTTAGGAGAGTTCTAAAGAATCCGAAAAGAACCTCAAGGATATTGAATTCTGATGACAGTTTCAAAGGCTCTTGGGGAGTATTCCAAAATTCAGTAAATAATTTTTAGTGAATCCTGCAGATAGTTTCAAGATAATTTCGAAAAGAATTCCGAGAAAATCAAATTTTGAGTGAAATTCCAAAGGGATTTTCAGCAAAATTTCAATCGAATTCCGATGATAATTTCTAGCTCATTCCGGGAAAAATTTCTGAAACTCTAAAAGAATTTCATTTCCAAGGTGTTCTGAGAAAAAATCATGAAGACTTCTAGGTATAATTCTAGTGGACTTCTGAAATGAATTTCAAAAGAGGAAAGTTTCAAAGGTTATATGGGGAGTATTCCAAGAAAATTCTGTGGATAATTTTTAGTGAAACCTGCAGATAGTTCCAAGATAATTTCGAAAAGAATACCGAGAAAATTAAATTTTGGGTGAAATTCCAAAGGGATTTTGTGGAAAATTTCTAGGGAGTACCGATAATTTCTTTTAATTTTCCGGGAATAATTCCTGGATAATACTGAGGAAATTATTCTGAAACTCTAAGGGAATTTCAGTTCCAAGGTGTTCTGAGTAAAAGTCAAGAAGAGTTCTAAAAATAATTCCAGAGGACTACTGAGAAGAATTTTAATAGAGCTCATAGAGTTCTAAAAAATTCGAACCTCTCGAAACCTCAAGGTATTCTGAGGATGGTCTTTTTTGCAACTTTATAAAATTTAAAGACAGTTATTAGTTTGCCATTGAACCTTGGTCTATTGTTGTCTTACTAAGAATTCGTCTAAGAATCTTCTCTGAAAATTTCAAGTCATTTGTTACCGTGGTTAAAAAGTCACAGCTGTTTATGTGCGTTGCAATAAATTCGGGATTGTCCTTTGTATCATCTTTAAAACATGTTGAATGTTCGGCATCATTTCATGTCACCCCGACTGGCGGTACTTTGGGACAGGGTTGACATGCTCAATCCTTCGCACAAGTCGTAATTCCGTTAACAATCCTGTACTCGCTTGTCAAAATAGTTTTTTGCGCATTTGTTCCAATCGTTACATATTTTTTAAACCTTTTTAATGATCCTTTTAGCCTTGGCATTTAGGTCAAAAGTTGAAAAAAAATAGACCTACAATTTACGCTGAAAATGACCAAGTTCAACGTACTCGCAACGGTAATAGTAAAGTGTAACTACAACAGCATATAAGGGCTTACAAAACCTTGAAACAGTCAAAAATAACTGTAACGATGTCTTCAAAATATACAAAAACGTATTGCACAAAATCTCAGAAAGGTAACTGAATAAAAGATGATACCAGTACCTTGAAGAATATATTTTCTTTGGTTCTTATTTTTAACCCTTAAAGAAGAGCATGACGCAAAACAGAATTACAACGATTCCTGCCCAAGTGATGGCCAATCGCAGTGATACCCATGTTGGTAGTATGGAAGCGTGGAAAAAATTCAAAACCAGGAAGGATATCGACGAAGAACTGGACCACCAAAAAACAGCCAGTACACAAGTAACCGTATTCAAAATGACATGATTACGTTGTTGCACAATGTAGTGATGCAGAACATTGCGAAAACCTTGCGAGGAAAACCAGTGGCAATAATTGTAGATGAGACGAGCGATTGTGGCCACCACGAGCAGTTGATGATTGTCATCAGGTATATTGATAATGATGGGATTAAATTGCCAATTCCATTGGCTGTCTGTAAGCAGTTTGCATTGAAGAAGATGAACCACCATCGGAGCAAAAAATAAACAAAATTAGCTAAATTGAACAGTAGGGAAACAGTGGCGGGTGAACAGCACCATCCACCACGCACTTTGGAGTACTCCCCATCCCCAGATTAAATGCACATAGAAAAAAAAATGCCCCTCCTTAACAAAATTCCTGTGCACGCTAGTGGTGAATTGGAAAAATATCAACACCATTTTTAAATTGAGTAGGGTAGAGAACTACTTCGGCTACTTATCTTCATCCGATAGGCCGAAGTGAATTCATTGACGTTTCAATGGCGTTTCAATGCGTTAGGCCGAGTTTAGAATCCGTAGGCCGAGTTTGGCATCAAGAAGTAGTGTTAGACTTTTGACAATATCTCAATGATTGGTTGCTCTTTATCAAATTTTACGGTACGTACGGAAAGGTAAATAAATTTGGAAGCCATCAGTATTAATAACATTCCGTTTGGTGCTAACCTGAGCTAGATTAAGAAAGACTAAGTGCGGGTTGTGCTTAATAGGCCGAAAATGGGGTAATCAACCCTACTTGGCACTAAGGAAGTCTACAGCATGTTTGGCATGAACAGTTGAACACACCAACTGCTCATTTGTTAATAACTTTTCTCTCAGTTGTTGAAATTTGTTTTTCTAAGGATCATGGATTACTATAGATCTGCAAAGAGTTGGTAAATCTTAGTATTTGAACCACCACCAATGAATTTTTACACCTTAAGTCCGAGATGTGCAGCGAGCATTTCTCACTTCATGTTTACAACGCAAAACCAAATATAGTTTATTACTAGAATGAAAATCAACTTTATGTTACGTATCTATAACAAGCTTCAACTCTATTCTATCTACTGCTTCAAAAAGAACTCTGTGCAAAATTATTAGCAAATGAGCAGTTCGTGACCAAAACTGTGTATGCCAAGCATAGTCTACAGTAGTAATGACAAAATATGCATATCTGTTGAAAAATAACAATTTTAACCCATATGACAGTGAACCGTAAAAATTCAATGACCTTTGAATTACCAAGATAAATACTGGGAAATGCCTCCAATTTCGATAAAAAAAAACAATCGGGGAAAATATAGGGTAGAGCACTACTTTGGCCTAATCGCCCATTTTGGGCCTATCGAGCAGAAAACATCAAATAAATCCATTGTTTCAGAGTTAACAAGTCAATTATGCGTTTGGTACGATTCTTTAGTTCAATACACAGATACAAATTCTGAATTTTAATTGTGATGTTAACATTCAATCACGTAGACTTGTATTTCATTTCACGCAACCGAGCAACTTGCAAACAATATTGTTTACAAAGATGGGCTTTTGTATACAATATTTACTCAATTGCATGAAATGTGTCAGAACTTTACATGATATATAATATAAACGTATATGATATGTGACGAGGTCAATGCGAACGCGTGATATGAATGTTTACACCCATTTTTTTTCAAAATTAAAAGAAGCGCTCCGACCGAAGCAATCTTTATCATCATCCGATAGGCCGAAGTGAATTCATTGGCGATTCGATGGCGTTTCAATGCGTTAGGCCGTTCTACAGGTGCATATCAAATTTAATGTGACTACGTAGCTCAATCTTTAGGACTTTTGCACTGCTCATAGTAGCAAACATAAATAGTCTTAACATAACCCTTTACTTCCATGGGAAAGGATTGACACCAAATGGTAATGTTGATGGTTTATTTGTTTTTAATGTGGCTAGTATAAGGCCACATCACTACATCAGGATGTAGTGATGTGGCGAGTAGTTTAAAAATCATTCACAACTAGAACTATACAATAAAATCATAATTTGAAACAACTAAATTTGACAAATCATATGACTTTATGTGTTGTGTTTCTCGATAAATGGTTGTTTAAATGATGATAATTTTATCAAATATATGAATTTTGAGAGTTCAAATAAAACCGTGAAGTCTCCGCAAAAAATCTCGACCGCTAAATTTGACTTTTTCCGTGTCCCTGGATGTGGTCTGAAAAGTGTTCCCTTAAATGGCCATAGTTCTTAAATCAGGATTAAAATAAATTTTTACAAATTGTTCAACGTAAAAATGCAAAAAAGCATTGACACTAACATCCTGCGGAATAAATGTTGAATTTGATGAAAATTTCTAGATTTTAGGCCGTATGGCTAATAAGAGGACCACTAGTGTCGTAGCTGCTACACTTCCTCCGCTAGAATGAGTCAATTCATGTTCACACAAATGTTCGCCTTAAATCTCAGCAAATGTAATTCTACATTTTATGACACCTACACATCCTGCGAAACAGCATCGCAAATAACATAATCCTACACTGGTACCCTGTAGCCAGTCACCGCGATAATCGCTTTACCGGTGTTCTTCCCAGGAACTTCAATTTCATTTTTACTACGCAATGACAAACCCCACCCAAGTTTCGCCTATCAGCAACAATTTAACGCTTTTCCCGTTGATTCTCTTGCACGTTTCTCCTGTTTACGACATCCTGGCCGATAACTTTATCAACGACCCATAAACACCCACCCACGCACACCCTCTTAGTACGAGCTCCGGCTGACGGTGTCGGATACCTTCAAGGAAAACTACACCACAGTGCTGATTAACGTTAAGGACGTAAACGACAATCCACCTGTATTCGAGAGATCATCATATCGCACACAAATCACCGAAGAGGACGACCGGGGCCTGCCGAAGCGAGTGCTACGGGTAAGTACCTCCACATATGTATACCTGTTATGATCTCGTTCTTGGCACCACTCATAAACCACATACGACGCTGACGGCCATATATATAGAGGTACGATTGTGGGTACATAATGCCAAAGGTCGTCACCTCGGATCGTTTTCATCATGGGGAACTCATGTGGTGGCTCTTATGTTTTCCTTTTTTGGAAATATATCATTTTCATTTTCGGAACCGCTATGTCAATATGTCTGGTGGAGGGTAGTGTTCTCGACAAGGTCGTTTATTTTGTCCACAAATGTATTTTCTCAGCACTTCAATCTTAGATTGATCCAAAAAACATTAATCAATCGTGTGCATGGCAAGTTCAAGAATACCGCGTATAGATATGTCTTTATGAGAATGAAACTCCACTTCGCCAATATATTGCTCCGACCCTATTTATCCCAAACCAGTCTAGCCGCGCATACATATCGTTATTTCTACTGAGCACGTATGTATATTGCATTCAGGAGGAGGGACACTTCGTAATAAGTACGGTGTAGGAGGTGTGCAATACGAGAAAGAACGTGTGTTGCTAAGAAGAATAAAATGTTGCTCCGAGCAGTGATGAATACTGATGAGAGCGATCTGCTGGAAGGATGGTGGGGGCGACGAGCAACTCCATAGATCATTTCAAGTTGCTGTGCTGGAATGTGTATGAATGCGAGGGTGGGGGTGAAATTCGTGTGGTTGCAACCGTGAGAAAATTATGTGAGTTAGATACATTTGCAATGGGGAACTGTGTATCATGCTTGAGAGCTTATTTTTGCAGTACGTGCGAGAAATTAAAGCGGTTAAATAATGAGCGTTGTCCCATTGAAAATACACTTATTCTGCAGGCGTCTGGTGGGAGTGCAATTGAATATCATGGGAGAATAAAAGCTGAAAATGATGAATTGCGGATGTTGTTACACCCTGAATTGCTTAATACTGAGGTAAAAGACGAACGTACATAATTTCTAATTTATTTATTTTTTAAATACTCAGCAATCTTCTCTTACATCTCGTGGTATCACATAACTGCACACGTCAAAATTTCAGACAAATATTAAGATTGTTGCGAATTTATTTGGTTTTAATACAATTTATCTCGACAACTCATCCGACAAAATCATGGTCTTTTTTTTTTTCCTTGATTTGTTTTCCGTGCTAAGCACCAATGCTACCGATGCCAGGGAGACAGATCCCACACCTGGACCCTACCTATCGTCCCATCAACTCATGAACCGGGGACCAACGGCTTTACTTTCGAAGGAAGGCGTGATCAGAGATGTTATGCCTCAGAACATCCCGGCGACACTGACTGGGATTGAACCCAGGACTGCTGGGGTGATAGGTAATCACGCTTACCTTTACAACACCGACGCCGCTAAAAATCATGGTCGTACTATAAGGTTTATAAACTACATGACCACTCTATATCATCTACAAACGCAAAGCTTGCCCATTTATCAGAGATGGAATACATGTGTCTCTTAAATTAAGTGAATGAATGTAGAATGAAATGATTCTATTCAGAGATTATCTAGAAACTATCTTGCAAAATAAACTTTCAAGAATTTTCAAAAATAATTTTATTAATCGCATTTGGAAATAGTTCTGCTATAGTTCAAAAAAACTCTAGGTCTAATGATTACAAATGATTTCAAGTCAACTAATAAAACCTGTTTGTATGAATTCCAAGGTTCAATTCTCCCAACATCACAAAAATCCTCCCAACTACAAGCCCAACTCTAGTGCTTTAAGCTTGTCTGCACAATTTTTCACGAAAGATTCAGTGCCCTAAAACAGCACGGATGGCAGATACCATTTGACCTGCGCCCGCACCTAGTATCCTCACGGACATACCCTCACTGTTGTCGCAAGTTGCTCCATCCGAAAATAATAGATATTGACACACTTCCTCCTCACAACTTCCAGCATCCTCCCCCACGCACCGGTCGGAAGAGTCAATTGTAGCAAAACAAGAACATGCTGTTTATATCGCAAGCAGTGAGCTAGGGAGCAACATAGGAAAATGCTGCTGTCGTGTGGAAACTAGTCCAGTTGGCTGTGTACTTGTTTTGAAATAAACAAGCTTCCACTTCCTTCCGGGTCCGGATTGGATGCAATTCTTGCTTTCGCTCTCTCATTCGCTCGTTGAAGGCTGTATAATGTTGCCAGTGGGAATTGTCGAATGCAATTAGTTTGTGTCTAATTTCCTACCAAATGCTGTGCTGAAATTAGTCCATGTTAAGGTGGCAAAGGCGTTTGTAACTTTTAATTTGTCGTAATTTTTACGACTAGTAGCTGATTCAATCATATTAGCTCAACTGAAGTTAATTAAAAAAAAAACTGATTTGGAGTTGTCCCTTGAAACATACAAAAAGACCAATTGTTATATCACATCAAAGTGGATGAACTTCAATCGTGTCGAAAATTTGGTGTAATATGAATTGCCAAAGAGGATAAAATTATCATTAATACAGTGCATGAACTGACATTACACTGCTTTTACTGCATTTGTTTATTTCTGTGGTCATACAAATTACATGAGATTTTCGACATGATTGAAGTGCATCCTCTTGGATGCAATATTAAAATTAAATTTTTGATGTGTTAGAAACACCATCAAGAAAAGATTAGTTCCTTGGTCCACTTTTATTGAGTTATATGATTTTTATGTCAAAAGGGCCGCTTACATGTGTTGGTCTCAGGAAAACGAAATTCATATGATTTTTTCGTAGTGTGTTCCTAATGCATTAGGAAAAAGTTACACATTGTACATAAGCGAGTCAGCGCGAACGGCAACTCACTCGCAAGAATCTATTTTTGAACCGATTCTTGATCTATTGGCCTCAAATTAAAGATGTAGGTTCCTTAAGCGGCCCCTTGCCCAGGATTTCTTCAATCGGACCATTTTGGCTACTTTTTTCTCCCTTGATTTGTTTTCCGTCGATCTTGTTGCACCAAGCCTGTCTGCAGAGAACCTCCGATCTGCTCGAGAAACCATTCAGATGTCCTCTGAACCCGTTAAAAAAGTCGTTTAAATTTGAATGCCGAAAACAGTTACCAAAGGTACCCAAGCCACCATTAATCCTAATTATTTTTGAATTATAGTTATAATTCTCTTTAAATACAACTTAAAATTTACCTGCCATTTATTCATCTCACGATTTTCATAAAATCTCTTTTGAATCACCTTGGAATTCAAATCAGATCTTCTGTTGAATTGATTTCTTGCAACGTCCCGTTAGAACTCGTAGCTTGTTGGGAATAGCTTCAGCTGTATTTAGTTTTTTTTTATTATAAGTAATACAGTGTGGACACTGAACCGGGAAAACCGAGAATTAACCGGGAATCGTACACCATCGAGAAAAACCGGGAATTAACTGGGAATTTTATTTGACCTTCATATACATTTTTACATGTACTTAGGTATTTGAAATTGAAATAAGTACAAGTGCAAGCAAACAATATATTTCAAAATAAAATTAAAATTTTGTATTCTTTAAGAATATTCCAAGTCCATTATCTCAAAGGGGGCGACCCCGGCGTAGTGGTTAACATCCATACCTCTCACGCCAAAGTCACGAGTTCAAATCTCACCCCCGGACAAGTCACGAATGACCCAAGAGTGTTAAAGTGACTATATAAAAAAAAAAAAAAAAAAAAAAAAAATTATCTCAAAAATTTTACTTAATATTCTAAAATTTTCCCTAATTCAAGATACCAAAACTTTAGAGTTAGATCTAAAAAATAGCAATGCCCTAGAGTTTTGATCAGTTTTCAAACCCAAGGTGAGAATCTTAAGTAATTGTTCAGCCTTGAACACGTAATTCTTTGTCTACTTTTGCATTCACCAAACGTTGTTCTGAAGTCTGTTCCATTTAGAATTTGGCCACACAAAATAGGTCATTTCTCCAAGGGGAAATAAAGTACAAAAACGCTAAAGGTATCATTTTGTAGGATTTTTATTTAAATTTAAGGGAAACTACAACACAAATTATTCGTCAGCTTTTCGGATGAATTTTCGAACTTTTCGCGGAATACCTCTCATCATGTCTTGCAAAGTCAACCTCATCTACCATCCTTTTCCACCACTTCTCCAAATCATATGGTGCTTTGAATGTTTTGTCACATTTCTTCAATTTGCGCTTGATAATTGCCCAAAAACTTTCAGTGGGACGAAAATCTGCACAATTTGATGGATTGATACTTTTGTCAATAAAATCGACATTATTCTGCTTGTACCATTCTATGACATCGCGTGTGTAATGGCAGCTGGCTAAGTCAGGCCAGAGCTTTACGGGACCTTCGTATGATTGAGGTTTTGTTTCAGCGTCCTGTTGGGATGTTTTGCTGGCATGGTACGACGAGAAACCTTCTCGCATACGGATTCGCCAAACTGTAATGTGTGCCACACTGTACATTTCGCCATATCACGACCGGAGATCCCAGGATTCTTTTGAACTGCCTTTATGGCCTTCGCTCATAGTTTTCGGTCATATGTTCTGCTTCTACGTTTGTTTTGTTTTGCACGATCCAACGTTAGTGTTACCGGTAACGTTTAAGCACGGTATTTACAGTCGATTTTGGAAATTTGAGAGCCTTTGCAATCATTCCATTCTTCCTGACCACGTTGGATTTTGCACGTGAGTGTCCAGAATTTTTTCACGTCTGTCACGTTCCATCTTCCATACACTTTTGAACAAGTGTATGAATCCTGATGAAATTTTCACTACTAAATAAAAAAACCTTCTAAATCAGAACGTTGTCGATCGTTTCTTGCTACGACAACTAGAGGCTCTACAGTACTTAAAAAGAAGCGGCCAAATACTAACTGGAACAGACTTTATGTCAGAATCAGACATGGAATATCATTTACATTCATTTGCTTCTAACATTTTTTATAAACAGAATTGCGTTAAATGATGTATGAAGCTCTTTTAGATCTTAATATTGGGTATAACGTTTGTTAGTAATTCAAATATTTGTCTCT